GGTGGACAACTTCAACGGCTCAGTTTTTGACGGATGAGGTTCACCGTAAGGTCAGCATGGACCATCACAGTGCCAAAGTGTTGCTGTGCGATCAATTGTAATCAGCTCTCCAACTTACCTCACCACGTCATTTTCCACCATCCACCACTCTTATTAACTTTGCCCCTCATATTCGGCCTTTTGAGATGCGTTGTGATGCTCTTGCCGGCAACGAATGTAGGGGTGAAGAAGCATACACTTCGCGTCTTATGGTGCGTCTCATTTTTACATCCGGTTCTCAAGCCTGAGAGGAGGTCACCGTACACCACGTGGGCAGGAGTAAATGCTCTCTTTTTCTTGATCTCTCGTGCCAACAGTGGAAATCTCACTATGACTCATCTTAGTTAGTGTTGTAAATGGTCGGTGGATATCGAGTACGGACGCCCAGATGAAATAATTTCAACTTCGTAGCTCAAAATACACAACCATGGTAAAATTGGTAGATGCATTTGGGACTAGCGTTAACCTCGGTTTACATTCGCTATTAGTGTTGTAAATGGTCGGTGGATATCAAGCACGGACGCCCAGATGAAATAATTTCAACCTCGTAGCTCAAAATACACAGAATCATGGTAAAATTAGTAGATGTATTTGAGACTAGCGTTAACCTCGGTTTACATTCGCTGTTACATAGACGCGTACTGCGCGGTTAACCGGTCGTTCTCTTGAGGTAGGTTTTCTGGGACTGAGGGTTCCAAGCTGCCTAACGAAAGCGATTCGAGTGATTCAAGGGCAGCTCTTCTGAGGACATCCCACTTATGGGGACCTGATGAAGGACATCATTGTTTTCCGTGGTTGAGCTTTCCGCATACATACTGTCTGTTTCCGTTTCAGGTTCGGTATTTATTCTCTGATAAAACGGGAACACTAACTCGCAACGTCATGGAGTTCAAACGCTGTTCGATCGGTGGTGTCATGTACGGGTAAGTGGGTAATTTTCAATCCATCTTCGCCTCTGCACACCTTCATGAAAAATAGTTGTGTATTATTCGTTTCGAAGTATTCTTCAAAATCTGGAGTTGTTTTCGTGATAGCGGTCTTGTTGCTTACGCAGTGTACTGTTCAGTCGTCCGGTGCACAAATGGACTTCTGCGTGCAATTGATAACTATCGGTACCGTTTGTTTCCAGACGTTTTGGTTTCCAGCCTGAAGGTTCTTTTTCATTGCCATCTCAAATTTGTTTCGGTTACGTTGTCTTGTGTCTATTGTACTGTGTTACCTTGAGTCGTAATTTAATATGTCCCATTGTATTCTGTTTATGTGTATTCCGCGTATTCATCTGAAAAAGACCCGCGCTTACCCTCCGAACCTTCGTTGTGCAGTGTACTGTTCAGTCGTCCGGTGCACAGATGGACTGCTGCGTGCAATCGATAACTATCGGTACCGTTTGTTTCCAGCCGGAAGGTTCTTTTTGCCATCTCAAGTTTGTTTCGGCTACGTTGTCTTGTGTCTCTTGTACTGTGTTGCCTTGAGTCGTAATTTAATATGTCCCATTGTATTCTGTTTATGTGTATTCCGCGTATTCATCTGAAAAAGACCCGCGCTTACCCTCCGAACCTTCGTTGTGCAGACCCAGCTGAGTGGTGACTGGCACTAGCCGTCAGTCTTGTGCCTAGGATGCGTTTCCTGAGTGGCGCGGGGAATCAGATGTCCCTCTGCATCAGCTGTGGGGTTTAACTGTTTATCTGTATTGACTTCAAGTGACAATTGTGGGCAACTAGTTGGGTATCCTAGTATGGGAATGCTCTAGTACTGACATCCTGTCCACCATCCGGTCTTATTCCCCCGGGCACAAGGTGTTCAACTGCATTCACATGCTGTGTAACACAAACCGTATGTCACATTACCCAATATTTGTGAGTGTCCGTCGACTTCGTTCACTGTGACAAGTCGACTTGAAAGCGGATGGCAGCCCTTCAGACGGTCTACGTCATTCGACAAGCTCAACACATTCCTAAAGTGCTATAAGAAATGCGGGTTCGTCAGGGCAGTGGGAACCACTAACAGAGGCAATACCTGTAGAATTCAGTTTCTGGTCCTAGAAATTGTTACCGCTTTATTTTTTTCTCAGTCTGAATGTTTCATGGGTTACAAACGATTGTGGTTCGAAATGATTATGTTTGTAAGAACCTTTCTCACTCTCCACATACGCAATACAATCATCTGCTCCCTCCCCAACTGTCGTTAGTTTAATCGATGTACTTATCTGGCCATATGTGGTATTGACTTGTTTACCAAATCGATACAAACGACCTCACTAATGAATTGAGTGGTTTTGATCGGCTGCTACGGTATTCTGCTTTCAGAATGGTGAATTTTGATTGGTTATTATCTAGCCAGCCAAATAGAGCCAAGCATGTTTTATTTTATCTGCTCCTTTATGGTCACTACACTTAGCTGTAATCACGCAGAGACGGGCTTGCGTTTGTAATTTCAATTTTTCTCTATTCTCCTCGATCTTCCACAGTAGCTGTAACTTTTTAACAGTCGGTATTTGGGCAATCTTACAGCGATGTATCCTTAATAAGTCTCGCACAAAAGCGGCAGTGGTCGGTCTCGGTTCATAGCTCATGGGGTGAATGAGCTCAACCGGGGCGGAGATAACCGACTTTAGATAATCCATCTTTGGCATTAAAGTATCAATGTGTGCTGTCCATGGTGGTGAATCCACCTTCGGGTCGTTTCTACGTTATACACTTAACCCTTATTCCAACTTTAGCTACCCTTCGTCTTTTTGGGCCATTGTGTATGGAGAGTACTGAAAGAGTACTGTTGGGGATTACGGAGGTTCACATTTCCTCAATCTGTGTTGGCTGCCGAGCTCATGAACTGCCTCTCACCCAGCCGTTTTTAGTTTCGTTGAGAGAAACAAGGAATTCTGATTCACGGTGAACGCATCTGCTTATTTAATTGAAAGAGCGCATTAGATGTCGATGTTGACGTTACCGTCTCCGGCCTGAAATCTTCAATTGCTGATGGCTTTTTGATCGGGTGTTTTAGCCGTGTGAACTCTTTGTTCATTCTCCCGTCCCGTAGAAATGACACGGAGGATTCGAACGCAATGAATGACAGGGCACTGTTGAAACGATTGAAAGCAAATGACCCGTTAGCTAAACATTTTTTCACCGTTCTGGCACTTTGTCACACGGTTGTACCGGATGCCCATTTGGAGGATCCAGAACTGCCACTCACTTATCAGGCTTCATCACCAGGTGAGTCGTGTGCTTTTTTATCGGGTTCGTAAACCGTATACTTGTGGTTTCCGAGTTACCAAAACTAACAACGAATCAGTCATGCAGTTTTACATGTGCCATACAATCTCCAGCGCCTTTTCGACTTTGCAAAAAAATTGATCAAACACCTCATGTATGTTTTCATCAATCTTTCTCTATTGAGTCTAAGTGTTGTGTGAAATCGGTTATGTGCGTTTTTTACTACTTTTTGGCATCGGTTTTGTTCAGTATTCCTGTTATAAGTTGCAATCACATTGGTTCTCCTTGCCGTAACGAAAGTGATGAAATGATAACTCGTATCCATGTCACTCTCTGTCGGTGCATCTCATTTCCTTTTATGACCGTTTTGGTTAGTCTACACCAGAAAAAGTACTACGCTCTTGTTTCGCTCGCATTGCTATTCATCAACAGTGCTATCCCTAGCCGTGCCAGAACTTTGACATACGGAACAACTTTATTACCATCACTCCACCAGCTCGCGCCGTGTGAACCTGAATTATTACAGCTTAGCTGGTGAACACTCACTGATAATAGTGATCACTTATTAGAAATGGAACAATGGATCCTACCGAAAATCGTAAAGGCGAACAGTTTTTCCATATCCCTGAGGGTTTCCAGCCCTCGGTTATATGGTTTGTGAACTCTCAGACGTGGCACGTGATAGGTAATATGGTTGAGAAGAAAACTAGCAAAAGCTTTAATACTTGTTCATCGCCTCAACAGGATATTCCAATTACTGCAAATCAGAGTAGGCAATTAGTACCTGTCTTGGCAAACTGTTTGCGATCCGCGTAGCACATACGCCAGTCCACTCATAATTGTGTCAAAATTTCGATCGGCTACCCATTTGATGCATTCCAGAAACCCATTCTTCAGTGATACGGATTACGGGGACGAGGGGGATTTACGATGGTCCAGCTGGTAGGATAATCACTCGGTCTATAGTTCAAGTTGCATCCAGTAACGTCTGTCTTCTCGTTTGCCTCGTGTCTTAGAGTTACTTTCCACGGCGTTCCAAATCTCCATCTTCTCTCTAGGGATACAGGCGGAGTACACTGTGTGGTAAGAAGACAATGTAGTTGAGTCGCGACATTCAAGAGAAACAAGTGATCCATAGGTCATCGAAGACTGCTGTGATCCCAGCTTGGCATCTCTGTGTCACACTGTCTACCCTGTAATTCTGACGTTTACAAACACTGGACACTCCAAGCAACTGGTTGATTGTCAGTCCAGCGAGCTGTGTCCTGTGCGACCCGTTCCCACTAGCAGATTATTCACTGTTTTTATTGACTTTCGACGGTGAATTGCAGTTTCATTCCAAATACGAACTGCTCGTTTCATTAGCGAAATTACTCCCAGCTTCCATTGATTCTGTTCCCCACTACATAACATAGCACTGTATCTCATGAATAAATTCGCCTAACGACTTAAGTCATTACTTCCCTTCTGACCTTGTGATAGTGAGAATTGGATTTTTCCTCGTTTGTATACATACTTGTGTTTTGTATGTTTTGGACCGATTAATATGTCATTATTTGCTTTGAATTTCCACCTTTCACAGACGAGGCTGCTTTGGTCAAGGCGGCCCGCGCATTAGGTTTTGTCTTCACAACACGAACGCCATCGGGAGTGTCAATCAGAGTGGTAAGTCATGTGGGTTGTGTGCCTACTTCTTTTATGTACATGTCGTTTCCGGGTTGAGACTCGTTGTTTTACTTTCACTTTTGTCGACGTCATCCTACCTCCATTAGTACCAAGGGCTCCAACGCCTCAATTGCGACCGAGGTGTGCGATAGCTTCTCACATACGGACCCTCTCAAGCAGTGAAATTTGTAGATGGTGAAAACTGCTTTTATTCTTAATGAGACTCATGCCTCACTCGTTGGTTGCGAACCCAGACACTGGCTTCGTAGCTGGAGAAACACGTGATTTCTTGCTGATCCAGCATGCTGTTTTTCGCCGCATCGCTCCCTCTTTTCTTTCCTACCATGTTTGTTTGATCCAGTTCTGTTGAGCCGAAGTAACGTGCTGGGCAGTCAGATTGATTGGTTGTATTTAATCGTCCAGCGATTAGACATAACCATTGAGTCGTATCATTTACATATATAGTTTGTATCCTTCCGATCCTCGGTTAGTGAATTGTTTGACGTTTACAGGTGCCAACTTACCTGGCGAACAGTAGTGTGAGGGAGCTCTGCATGAGAAGTGCTAGCCGGGAAATCACAGTCTTGTTAAGTTCAAACATCCATTCACTTTTCACTACATATTTCGTGAATATTTGAACCCTAGGCCTCGATTGGCTCACAACGTTAGTTCCCGATAGGTCAGGTTGCAGTTGCAGCTCGAACGATGACACGAACTGTCTGGCGTGCTACACAAATGAACGATAGGTTTTACTCCCTCCATCTCACCCTTTGTTCTTCAAACCAACGGTCACGTAATAGATAACATCAACGATTTGAACGTATTTGCGCGATCTTCAAGGCACTTTCTCAACACGCCATAAAGACTGACTGGACACACTCTTTTTTCCTGACGCATTGGTTCTGATTTTCTTTTGGACGGTTCAAACTCATGAGTCACGCCAAAAAACAGACCTCCATCTAAGATCACCACAATTGTAACACATTAACAAATAACATGTGGGTGTCTGCTCCTCTGCTTAGTTGTCTATGGTCGAACGGTGAAGATTCAGGTTTTGACTTGCTATTCGCCTTCTGACGTTACTCCCGAGGGTTGTCCCGTGATCATGCAACGCTCCACATACCCTAACATTTAAGGGTAAAGTAGTCAGGTGAGCGGAATTTTGACTGGGTGACTCTTCCCACTGGGTACTGGCACGCAAGTATCCATGTTGAAAATTATTTCCACCTCATGCCGTTTTGATCAGTTATCTGGAATGTCCGTTGATGTGGAATATCTGTTGGATTTCTCATATGAATTATCCGAGGCTACCAAGCTAGCTTTCTGTGTGCGTAGCCAAGTACCATCATGTGCTTTTTGGGAAGTCATGAGGTGAGTAGTCCGTAAAGTTGTGGGCAACATTTTGCACCTCGCTTTGCCAGGTATGTGTGGTCGTTGGAGGGGGTTAAGGTCACCAGACCCAGAGGTTTCGGCATCCATAAGGAACAATACTGAGGGAAGAGTAGGCGGATGGGGGAAACAGGAATAGGACAAATGTGGATAAGTTGGAGCAACACTCCAAGTTCAAACCATGGAATCTATGCAGTGGGATTCTGAAGTACTGAGTGGGGACAGAGGGTTGAGTAATTGGTGTTTTCGGCTCTATGCTTGTATGTTCCATGGTCGGTATCTCTACTCCGGAGCTTGAATTCGTTGGCAACCTATGAGTCCCACACGTTGGCAACGGTGCTTCGCCCGGCGAATTTACTGTTACTCTTATCGTACTCTTATCTTACTCTTACTGTTACTCTTATCGTTTTCGTTCCCCTTGGCTATCAGTCACTATTGATCCTGATAGTGTTCCCCATAATCCTTTTCTTGTTTCATTTCCGCCTCCAGGATGGAAAAGAGTTGCACTACGAAGTCCTGCAAGTATTGGAATTCACAAGCTTCCGTAAGCGAATGGGGGTGGTGGTTCGTGATCCGAGGGGGCGTATCCTAGTCCTAGTCAAGGGAGCGGTACGTGGATCACTATGCGTTCCTCTCGTTTTCTTCCTGTTCAGATTTGTCAGTAGTTTCAGCGACAGAAAGGCGGGTGTCCGCAATGGTCTCCCAACAACATATGGAGGAACGTTTTTGTTTTGGTTATGACAACTGCTGCTAGTGTTCCTTTGATGTTCAGGAAGAACTCTGATGCTTGTTTGAGAGCTCTCGTGAAACTACGTCACTGGTGTCTCACCTTCCCACCAAAGAAGTGGACATCACTTTTTTGGGTACTTTATAATATTTGCGTTTTGTGTATACCTATTCCTTGCTCAGAACAGCCCGCCAACGGGAGACTCGCCTGCCGATGAACCTGCACACGATAACTCTAATGCCAGTGAATCGCCAAATCCGGCGAACAGATCAACAGCCACCTGATCCACAACCATTACCTAACAGGTTCTTTCTAGGGACATGTAATGTGTCACCTTATTAGGCCGAAAGACAGGATATTTCTCATGGTTTATTCTTCCCTGAAACTTGGAGGCTTGGCTTCAGAATTGTGTTCTCTGATGGAATTAGGCTTGCAAACGAATCCCAAGGTCCGAACTTCACCCGTTGTTTAATGTCATTTTAGATGCCCAAACTTGCGGTTGTCCTGTCCTTTCCTACATGGATAATAACTTTTTGAACTTATTTCTCACCGACCTTCCTTCTGTATGAATATTTTGGATGGTGTTGATGTTGGTTATTCAGAACAATGTGCCACAACTTTGTCATCATAACCACTATTCGTACACATTTCTGTGTAGGATACGGTGATCTTCGAACGTTTGGCCAAGAACTGTCAATACCAAGAAGCTACCCTTGAACATCTTGAAATATTTGCGAGAACCGGTTAGTGACATGTATTTCGGTAACTACTACATCACCCCTTGTCCTTCTCGTAACGTGAGCACTATTAGTGTACGGGCCTCTCACATGTGTGACACTATATCAATATGCTTCATGAGTCTACAATGTCTGAAATGTAACCATCGGGTCTCAGAATTGTGAATCGCCTTGCAACGAGACGACGTCTGTGGAAAATGTGCCATAAAACCTGCTCCATAGCACTGAGGAATACTCAGTGATCCTTGTGTCACAGTTTATTATCGCCCGTTAAGGTAGTGTTTCTGTAGCGGCGCGCATAACAATTGGCGAAAAACGCTTACCAGTGTGGCATGAAACCAGTCTACATTGTCACCGAAATTTGAAATTAAATTTCTAAGCCGATCATACATCTATTGAACTTGAACTTGAGGTTGTCTATCTTTTTATTTGAGAGCTCGGATTTCAACCCGAGCAACACTACCTCCATCCGGGTTAACTGCATTGATTGCCTGCAAATAATTTCTAACTTTATATGACGGGTTAGAGAATAGGCCAATGACCACGTTAGGTTTCTGGAAACTGCCAGTTTTTCACCACTGGCCTCAATGTGTGAGGTGCTGGTCCTCCAAAAGCTGGCATTACTTACGGACAGTTTTTGCTTCCCCGAAAGTTTGTAAAACTAGATTTTGAAATAATCAGAACTTGATTTGACTTGACCTGAATTCGGACCCTTTTAACCACCGCTGTGTAACAGACAGCGAAGGATCGAGCGCATATGCAACCGTAGCGTGAGAGCCTCACAACATTTGATCCCCTTGCTCCATCGCATCAATACGGACAGAAGAGATGTTCCATGGAATATTAAAATTTCTTTTACCCTCCGCAGCGGGAACGATGTCAACTGTATGTAAAAAGCGGCTAGCAACGACGTTGAAAGGGTGATAAAATTAGATTGTGTAATCAGGGTCACAGCAACCAGCTGCTTTGCTCTAAAACTTCGTGCACACAGCTGGTTGGTAGAATGTGAGCTCCACTGGTCAAGGAAGGGTTGAGGTTGCGATACTTGAAGCGAAGTCTGGATTGACTTGCCGACCAGTTTGCAGCAGGGATCTATTGGGGGTTTCTCTGTGGTTGCCTGGATGGCGCGCTGTGGTTCGTGTTCTGCCACGGACATCGATCTGTTCTGTCAATGTAAGCGTCTCTGCAGTTGCAGGATACGTGGGTTAATGTGTTGGACTACCTTGGACTACCCTGTGGATAATGATTTCCATCTTAATGTTCTTTTGAATGCTCTTCTTTTAAGTGCTGCTCACTGAGAGATTCAGTGTGACCAAATGCTTTAAAAGCACCGGCTACCTTGTTCTGGTGCCACGTATGGCTATTATATATTTAATGTCAACAATAGACCTCGTTGTACCGCCCTCGTTCTGTCATGATAGCGTTTCGGACGCGCTTCAATTGTATTTTTTGCCCTATCTCACTGCGGGCTGTTCCTGTTACTTCGTTTCATCCGCTCTTTCACTTGTTCAGGCCTGCGAACTTTATGCATCGCGTCTGCCGAGGTGTCAAGTGAATTTCATGCAGGCTGGTCCAAAGAATACTACGCGGCAAGCACTGCGATAGACCGTCGTGAAGAGCGGCTTGAACAAGTGGCTGAGGCGATCGAAAAAGTGAGTTCTAGTCTCCCGATATCCGCACCACTGTCGTGTTCATTTGTCCTGCAGTGGTAGATATGACCTGGTTCCTTAAACGATTGGTTGTCTATTTATCGAACAACCTAGGCCATCGGATAGATTTCCATCCGATCATGTGAAATTGATTACTTTGTCATTATAATTGTTATATTTATTCTATTTCTACGTTCGCGTTAAGTGTTGCAATGCTATTTTTCAACTGATTTACGCCTATCGATTCTTGAGCTCTGGTTCCGAAAATTGAAGCTTATTATGTCGGTTACTGAATGAATCACTATTTCACGCAGCCATAGACGCATCTAGTCCGGCCTAGCTGGGTTAGTGATCAACGGGTTGACTCAACTTTCCATCCACTACGTTTGGTGTTTTATCTTCCCCGTTATCACCATCAACAACGGCGCCAGTGTCAGCTACTGATGCCTCACTACATCCTCCATTTAGAACACAATCAATCGAGTTGACCCTGTGTGAACTCGGCATACCAGGGAAAATTGATGGTTCAGTGACGAACGCGTATTCACAGTTTTAGCAAGACTCAGTTCAACAGCGGTCGCACACTGTCCCGTTGATTTCATTCGCTCCTTCCTCCTCTCTGTTATCACCATGGAGTTTGTGTGCGCGGAATTCGCACACACAACGCTGTTTTACGGTCTGAAAATCGACCTGAGTGATTACTGCAAACTGTATTTTGAAGGCATGAATAGCAAAACCGACTGTCATGAACCAACCGGAGTTACGCAGAATGTTGTTTTTACCCAGTGGCGGCGCTGTGGTCAAGAGCCTATGCGGAATATCTTTGTGTTCTACGTGGAAATAGAATTCAAAGTAGAAAACAGCCGTACATTTTTTGTTCCGGAGCCCTGAAGTGAAGTATCAGTTTCAACACCGAAAAGTAGCACTATTCCAGCTATATACTGACAACTCTTGTAATGTGTTATGTCCCGACGCTCCTATTTTCGCTGTTGGTTCGGGCGCGAACAGGTATGGTGATTCACCTCGCTACATTGCTATGATTTTTCAGAATTTGCATCTGCTCGGTGCAACCGCCATCGAAGACAAACTTCAAGAGGGAGTTCCTGAAACAATCGCCAATCTCATTCAGGCTGGTATATCTGTGTGGGTTTTGACTGGAGATAAACAGGAAACCGCGATCAATATTGGTGAGTACCTCCCTATCCCGTTTCTCCTCAAAAGAACTGGTTCTTGAAAGAAATCGTCTACTCTACGGTAACGCTGTTCACATCGGGTGATAAGCTGGAATGCATTTTCATTTATTCTTTTTCACTCTTTTCATTACTACTGCTTTGTGCCAAGTGGCTGAATCGCAGCTTCTCCGCTGGGCTGATAACATGACCATCACTTGACAACAAGACAAGACAACAGCCATCCTGCCTTTACACCAAGCCAACTCGTTTAGAGTTCATACGGAAGATGGTAACTGTAAAGAGGAAGTACAATTACAACGACAATGTTTTTCTCGTTCTGTGTTGATGGGCATCATTACATATACTAGTGCTTCAGAGTACTGCTTATCAAAGTGTATATAGCCTTTTGGCCTCCACATTGCCGCTACGACTTGACTAAACTAGGGAGCTTTCAAAATGGGATAAACATTGGGTATGTAACCAGTAAGCTCAAACAATTTGTGTTCCCTAGGCAAACACTCCTCGTCTTCTGGATTTATCAAAGTTTATTTTCGAAAAAGGAAGAGCGACCAGTAAAAACCTGATCGCACTTTTGCATCAGTGCAACATTACTCCAGTCACCTGTTTGTTTTGTTTAGCGTGTGTATGTGGTCGAATTTCTCATTTTTATGAATTAACTGCTCTAGATATCCGTGAGCGAGACAAACTGGTGCAATGCAGTAAATGGCGTAACGCCCGGCGCCTAGCGAATTCAGCTCATTTCGAACTAGTACCAACTGACTAACCAACCAACCAGATGCCTTTGATAGAAAAATGGAAATGGTAATCTTTTGGAAGTTGGTAGATATCGAGTCATCTTGCTTCCAATGTCCAAGCTTCAGTATCTTCCAAATGTAGTTAAGTGTATCCACGACTGGAGCTATAGGGACGTTCCCTGCCGAATCTCTGTGGCGAGCTCACTTGTATACTGATGCTTTCCTGAATTCGCCCTCGACTGTATTTGATTGTGTGGATGAAATTCTTATGATTACATAGCAGGAATCCTAGTTTCCCCACAGAAATCCAAGAATGACTCGGTGTCACGTTTGGATGTCCTGTGCGTGTGCGGCCCCTCAGATTTGGTGCCACAAGCCAAACTCTCTTTGAGACACCCTGAATGAACATCGGGTCCTCCTAGGATGCCGGTCGAGTCACTTCAGGATTCCCGTCAGTTTACATTGAGAATTTGATCCCGAGAACTATCGGAAAACGTCGTGGCCTTCTGATATTAATAAATTACAGTCTTTTACAGTTAGCTCACCGGGCAGTTCAGCAGCTGCAGAACAGACTCTAGTTCCCCGTTATTGTTCTTCATTTATTGGTTGTAGTGGACGTCTAGAACATAATTGACCATTCAACCCCTCGAATTGAACTATAATGGCGCATATTCAGGTTTTATAGCAAATATCTTTATCTTGTGCTTTTCAAGGCTATTCTTGTCGTCTACTAAGCCCAGTTTTGGATCTCCTCACTGTGAACACCGAATCGTTAGATGAAACTCGAACGAAATTACGTGAACTTGTGGAATTGTTTGGTCCCAATCTCCGTTCAGAAAATGATGTCGCGTTGATTGTTGACGGTCACGTAAGTTAAAACATCATCAGCTTTGTATCGGTATCCGTACACAGCCGACGAATCCATTTTCCAATTCCGGCCTTAGTCCTTTTCAGGTCTTGGATTACAACTGACCCGTCAGGTGGTCAACATCTGTACATGGAGATGCACACCGCTGGTGATTATCTGGTCGAATAAATGAGGGTTTCATTTTTTCAGCATGGACTGCTGACTTTGAGAGACCTAGGAGATCTCGTTCATCATATTACTACATGTTCTCGTTGGTCACATCGCTAACGGGGAATTATAGAACCTGACCAGCACCTGGATGCTCACTTGTATCCAGGCGCATCGGTTTGGTCATTCGCTGTTCCGAACATATACATAGATCGCTAGTCTGGTCGGTAGTATAATATATGTTCTCTGTTCAAATTAGGCACCTGTTTGCATTCATAAGCTTCCTTTTCGTTGACTTTCTCACTCTTGTTTACTTTCCGCACTGGCTCTTCAGACTCTTGAGTTCGCCTTAAGTTGTGAATGTCGAAAGGATTTCGTGGAGGTCGCCCTATCCTGTCGGTCTGTGATATGCTGCAGGTAAGTGCAATCTTTGTCCTTCTGACTAAGATCATACAGAATCTCTTATCCCTTTACCAGCATCACAACGACAGGGCCACATCGTTGGTTCTCCCGAAGGTTTCTAAATAGCGATTTATATTCATTTGCATCACTCTTATTTCTGTTCAACCCTGGAAACGACAGGCTCCTTGGGCTTTGCACATGGAGCTATCTTATAATGTTGACAAAAAACGTGACTTCACATAAATCGGTGCTCCGATAACCCTCGATCACACCCTCTTTGATACTTGTTCTTGTTTATAGGGGCCTTCTTCCAACCGTTGGCAATTTTAGGGGTCCAACTGGGTTACCTGGATTTGCACAATGGCGATTCCCTTTTCAGGCTCATAAGGGCATGTCAATGTGCCATGTGTTCGCGAGCTGTTATCCATCTCCTAACCTCGGTTATGTTTAGCTTGCTAACTGACTCCTATTGTGCGGATGCTGGTGCAATGCAGTAAATGGTGTAACGCCCGGCGCCTAGCGAATTCAGCTCATTTCGAACTAGTACCAACTGACTAACCTCGAGTGTAAACCACCCAACCAGATGCCTTTGATAGAAAAATGGAAATGGTAATCTTTTGGAAGTTGGTAGATATCGAGTCATCTTGCTTCCAATGTCCAAGCTTCAGTATCTTCCAAATGTAGTTAAGTGTATCCACGACTGGAGCTATAGGGACGTTCCCTGCCGAATCTCTGTGGCGAGCTCACTTGTATACTGATGCTTTCCTGAATTCGCCCTCGACTGTATTTGATTGTGTGGATGAAATTCTTATGATTACATAGCAGGAATCCTAGTTTCCCCACAGAAATCCAAGAATGACTCGGTGTCACGTTTGGATGTCCTGTGCGTGTGCGGCCCCTCAGATTTGGTGCCACAAGCCAAACTCTCTTTGAGACACCCTGAATGAACATCGGGTCCTCCTAGGATGCCGGTCGAGTCACTTCAGGATTCCCGTCAGTTTACATTGAGAATTTGATCCCGAGAACTATCGGAAAACGTCGTGGCCTTCTGATATTAATAAATTACAGTCTTTTACAGTTAGCTCACCGGGCAGTTCAGCAGCTGCAGAACAGACTCTAGTTCCCCGTTATTGTTCTTCATTTATTGGTTGTAGTGGACGTCTAGAACATAATTGACCATTCAACCCCTCGAATTGAACTATAATGGCGCATATTCAGGTTTTATAGCAAATATCTTTATCTTGTGCTTTTCAAGGCTATTCTTGTCGTCTACTAAGCCCAGTTTTGGATCTCCTCACTGTGAACACCGAATCGTTAGATGAAACTCGAACGAAATTACGTGAACTTGTGGAGTTGTTTGGTCCCAATCTCCGTTCAGAAAATGATGTCGCGTTGATTGTTGACGGTCACGTAAGTTAAAACATCATCAGCTTTGTATCGGTATCCGTACACAGCCGACGAATCCATTTTCCAATTCTGGCCTTAGTCCTTTTCTGGTCTTGGATTACAACTGACCCATCAGTTAGGTGGTCAACATCTGTACATGGAGATGCACGGCCTTAGTCCTTTTCAGGTCTTGGATTACAACTGACCCGTCAGGTGGTCAACATCTGTACATGGAGATGCACACCGCTGGTGATTATCTGGTCGAATAAATGAGGGTTTCATTTTTTCAGCATGGACTGCTGACTTTGAGAGACCTAGGAGATCTCGTTCATCATATTACTACATGTTCTCGTTGGTCACATCGCTAACGGGGAATTATAGAACCTGACCAGAACCTGGATGCTCAGTTGTATCCAGGCGCATCGGTTTGGTCATTCGCTGTTCCGAACATATACATAGATCGCTAGTCTGGTCGGTAGTATAATATATGTTCTCTGTTCAAATTAGGCACCTGTTTGCATTCATAAGCTTCCTTTTCGTTGACTTTCTCACTCTTGTTTACTTTCCGCATTGGCTCTTCAGACTCTTGAGTTCGCCTTAAGTTGTGAATGTCGAAAGGATTTCGTGGAGGTCGCCCTATCCTGTCGGTCTGTGATATGCTGCAGGTAAGTGCAATCTTTGTCCTTCTGACTAAGATCATACAGAATCTCTTATCCCTTTACCAGCATCACAACGACAGGGCCACATCGTTGGTTCTCCCGAAGGTTTCTAAATAGCGATTTATATTCATTTGCATCACTCTTATTTCTGTTCAACCCTGGAAACGACAGGCTCCTTGGGCTTTGCACATGGAGCTATCTTATAATGTTGACAAAAAACGTGACTTCACATAAATCGGTGCTCCGATAACCCTCGATCACACCCTCTTTGATACTTGTTCTTGTTTATAGGGGCCTTCTTCCAACCGTTGGCAATTTTAGGGGTCCAACTGGGTTACCTGGATTTGCACAATGGCGATTCCCTTTTCAGGCTCATAAGGGCATGTCAATGTGCCATGTGTTCGCGAGCTGTTATCCATCTCCTAACCTCGGTTATGTTTAGCTTGCTAACTGACTCCTATTGTGCGGATGCTGTGGGAAACCCTTGTCATTAAATCAATACTGGCTCAGATATTGATAGTTCAGTGTGATATTCTAGAAAGCTTCCCGTAAATTTTCCTTCCAATGTTTCTGACTACTTACTTGGTCGGCTATGGTTACTAAACCAGTCATCCAGCATTCGACAGTAAAACGACTGACAGTCCAATGAACCGTTTGTTGACTAGCTCGTTTCATCGCTATCGCCTCATCGATGCGTTTGGGCTGTTCCGTTGCTCGCACCGCACGTAATCGTTTGGCTGCTATGTCTGAACATGAGCGCTGGACTCAGTTTCATCATATGGACCCTAACGGTTGCGTCCAGTGCCTCACTCTTCTCGTTCTATCACGGCTATGCACGTCTATTTTGGATATTCATAGTGAGATTTTTGTAGATACGGTTCTTTTTCTGAATCGCCCAGCTGTTCCTCTCCTGAAGAGCCCATCTCGTCTGCTTTTTCGCCTGCACAAATAACTGGCTAACATGAATGAGCCTTTCACTTGGCTTACCGTACCGATTTCTCAGGTAGTGATAAGCAACCTTCAGAAAAATGGCTTCCGTGTTCGGATGCCGAAAAAGCGCAACTGGCCAAGTACTGGTCTCTTTAGCGAGTTGTTTTGAACAAAATTTGCTTCCCAAACTGTTCCTTTGGAGACTACTAGTCTGTCGAGTTGGGACATTCAACGGTCTAGTAAAAATATGGCCCATTTCAAGAGCGATCCATTCAAAACAAGATGACCGTACTACTTCTCTTTTGTATTGGTTCACCGGGTGGTCCAGTGAAACACATCGGCTCGGTAGAGAATAGGATCAATGAAACTCATTACGTTTGGATAGAGATTCTCGCTGTAAATGTCTGGCATCTCTTTTCAGCTTGAGAGACCTTCTATGGCAATTGGTAACTTCGTTTCCAAACAGACACACACGTTACACATTTGCATACCAGTTTGTTTTCCATGAAAGATTAACCTAAAACCCAGCTGAATCTCTTGTTTGTGAAATTGTTCACATGAATGTTACGCAATGACCGCCTCAGGTTTCAATTAGTACGATATTCGAGAGGTTTTTATGAGGGAGACTGACTACTCATCAGGTAACTGAAAACTCTGACGTCCCAAGGTCGATTTCGCCCTTCTTAGTGCTCACTTGGTAGGCACAGTCCGCGGGTTTCCGTCAACCTGTGTTTAGCCTGAACCCAAATTGCACGAAGTTCGACAGTACACTTATTTGCATGACAGTTTGGTTTTAAATAGGACATAAGATTGAGGAAAACTCGGGGAGTGTGCCTACCTGATGAGCCACAAGAAAGGCGACGTCGCTTGTGGGCTTTCAGCACCTTAGTTTTCAGTTTATGAGTCTTAGGTCCTTGCTGAATATAACCGTTTTCGTGGGTTCTATTGAAGGTTCCGCAGCTCCAGCCCATAGCTTTACGGTGATCTACTGCTCAGTAGATTTACTCCCTCTCGCGTGTTTTTTTACCGCTCGTCTAGTTTACTTGACTCCTCAGTACCACGAAACTTTCCACCATGGTGATGTGCGGCTTTGCTCTACTCATTATATTTTGTATTCCTTCATTGGTGTCAGAGTCAGCCCATGGCAGAAAGCAGAGTTGGTCAGACTCGTTCGAACGTCCGTGAAAGATGCGGTCACTCTCGCAATCGGGGATGGAGCCAATGATGTCGGTATGATTCAGGTAAGTTTCATTCCGTTTATCCGATTCCATCACTTTTAATACTGACTGATGGTAGCGGTAACGTGATAGGTTTATTTTCTACACTTGTCAATAATATTAATTGTTCGAAATTCACTTACTTCACCCCTCTAGGCAGATTCTGTACGCCTTTGGTCATTAACTTCGATTCATTTCATGATGAATCAGTTAAGAAAAGTTAGATGGAGCGCATTTGCAGCATTCCGGCGCGATTCGTATATCTCCGCAACTGTCGTATGTCACCAAGAGCAGTGGTAATTTTGATGTTTCCGATTTTGAAAGTGGGTATTGGAAGAATACTATATCAACAGCATTTTGTTATATCGATTTTTGTGTGTGTCATCCACTGACTTTTTGGACGAAGGGAACACTCGAATCTCTACTAATCCATTGGTTTTTTTCAAGTCTAACCATGATAAGTGGTGCACTTGCCCCGCCCTCACTGTTGCTCGTCAGCACTGCATTTAGTGGAGCTCGAAGCAGCGGCAACGGCTTTTAACGATTACAATTCAGCTAATTTGTTTTCTTCGGCACAGGGTTTGTGTCATTCACTTTTGTGAACTTCGTATTCGTTTTTGGTTATTAGAAATCGCTGGTGATCGGCTTGCATGCAAACAAGCATGTATCATGCCCTCCTTCAAATTGAGGCCGTTTTTACTGGTGTTTTACTCGGGACCAAGCAGCGAAACAGTGCAGGTTGTCTTGCTCTGTTAGGACAGCTGGCGTCAGTTTCTGATTTTTACGTCAACCCGTTTGTCTCCCAAGACATTGTCAACTCGCTTTTTCTCCTTAGTCTTTTTTATTCTGATTAATGAGGAAGTAAGTCCATTTTCACATTTTATCTTTAACTCGAGTCGAATCAACTACTAAGCTCATCGATCACACCAAACCTTTCTCTTTTTTTCCGTTCTCCCAACAGGCTGCTCACGTTGGCGTGGGAATCAGTGGAATGGAAGGCAGACAGGCTGCGTGTGCCTCGGACTATGCAATCGCTCAGTTCCGTTTTCTGAACAAACTGTTACTGGTTCATGGTGCTTGGAACTACAATCGGCTGACAAAACTCATTCTCTATTCGTTCTATAAAAATGTTTGCCTGTATCTGATTCAGTTCTGGTTCGCTATTCTCAGCGGATTCTCCGGGCAGATCATTTTCGAACGATGGACTATCGGTTTGTACAATGTGGTAAGTTTTCCTTGATCGAAAGGGAATAGCGTAGCATTCGTGCACGTGGTTGCCGGAATACGTCTGGGGAAGAGTAAAAACCTGAGAGGAACACGAATGAACGCAGTGCAACTGGTCTCCCAGAAAACGATGTGGCAGAAACATGTCAGTAGGTATTCTGTTCACGTGGGAGCCAGCAGATCACAATGCTTCATTGATTTCTTGTTGTTTTGGTGAATTTTGTGGTTTAAACTCTGTGAATTTTAACAGCCTGTGTTTATCCAGTACGATCCACATGTGAATTAGAGTGTCCAGATTCAGAACCCCATGGTTATTCGATCTGTTCAACTGCAGGGTGGGAATGAGGTCTTGAGTCAGTTCTTGAATAGGAAAATAGGTAGTAATGCTTTTTATCCAAAAAAGGATCCGTACTGAGTTCTGTAGTCACAGGGGGATCAGCTTAACTCCGGTTGTAACGGGACTCTTATCGTCTTTTATCCTTCGTCTTCTTACGATGCCCATGAGGCGGTAACCGAAGATCCGGGCCTGATAAGGGTCGTGTCAAGTACTGCGGCAACTCCACACATACAAGCGATCCGCAACCCTTGTATTTCTAGATTTCCCAGGCGCATCTTACTCTGTTGACTGGTGTGTTCTCCTTAACCTCCTTGGCAGGTAATTCTCCGGAAGTTTGTGGATACATTAAGTTCTTTGTATTTTCAGACTTTCGGGCATGTATGAGCATACAGGCGGCTCTCCAAAAGCTCCAGCACAAAAAGTGGTATTCGACAAGGACGCCCATTCCCTCTGTTCCTATTTACTTTCGTGATCAACGAGATGATGAGACAAACATTAGTTCTTCAAAACCGTAGCGTTCAAGTAGTCGCTGAAAAAACCTTGCCGATCTAGAATATGCAGATTACATCTTTCTAATTCTGGAAAAGGAAGGGATGGTACGTGGGTTTCTGGATTAACTGACCAGAATCGCCCACTGTTCCTCCATGTGTTTTGCACCCACAAAGCGTTAGGTCATCCATCTGCTTGACTAGGAGCTAACTGAACACGCCACCAACAGTTCAATAATGAGCGTTTGGGCGTTTTATTTATCTTGGCAGTTGTATAAGCCCCGACCGTAGTGTGTCAGATGAAGTCAGTTTACGAACCTCGGGTTGGGATCGCGTCACCTAATTTGAGACACATCACGGAAAAAATACGTTCCCAAATCTCAATGGATGTGTATATTTTGTTACCGTGCGGGCTGTTTCTCTGTACGTTCATGAGACGTGATCTTTGCGGGCAGCTGAACTGAAACGTCTTCAAGTCTTCGATAATGATTGTTTCAGACTTATGAATCGTGTAACCTAGTGGTAACGGGACAATCGAAAAGTGATCGAATGTTTGTGCAACAGAGACTTGAATAGAAGAATGTATCCAGCACCAAAAGCTATGGTCATGTACTGAGCATACCGAATCGTCGTTTCTCGCCGTTTTTCATGCCCAGCTAAGAGTGGCGCAGATAGAGAGGTGACCAACATCTGACCTAACTGAAAGGCACGTAAAAGATTGCTGAAAGTTTGCCTACTGTCAGTGCGACTTGCCTTCCGGAATGGGGTCCTTGTAACTCTATCTGTGTGTGGTTGGGGACGCTGCAAGATGTGCATGTTAGTTGATGTCGGTGACGTTCTTTTTGTTAGTTGCTATCCAGGTTATCGGTGCTTCGTTCGAGTGGTTTAGCAGCTATGTTCCGAAAGGATGTTATTTTTATTATTCGATTGTCTGAATGATTGTCTGGGGGATGACTGTATGGTAGTGAAATGGCTCAGTGGTTAGAGCGCAAATTTACTGACCGGAAGGTCCGTGGTTCAAACCCGACCTCTACCTCTCGGTAACCTGGCAGTGTCCCAGCTGAACTATTTTTATGTACGGTAGTGAGATCTGTGTGCAACGCGAGCAGCGAATTAATTTTGTATGCCACCCTGTTATTCGTAGGATCGCCCACAACATTCGGATAGTTTTTTTTTCAGTTCACCCGAACTCTTCGTTCTATCATTCAACCTAACCAGCTTAGTGATCGACCGTTGCCATTTTGTGCCACTCTCCTTGGTCCATACTTTTGCCGCGTCTCCACTGCTACTATGATTCATTCTACATGTTTGTTAACAGCTGTTCTCTGCCGCTCCGCCGATGGCCTTGGGTCTGTTCGATCGAAGCTGTAGTGTACGCAACTGCCTATTGTATCCGGAGCTCTACAGAGATACACAGGCATCAGCTTCTTTTAACCTGAAGGTAAGCCATTCATATGTTTGTCACAATGAAAAACACCTATTCTCCTCACGTTATTATAATGATATTCATGTTGTTCCTACTTCCCTCTGACCTTTTTCATGCTAACTTCTGTCCGTTTCTGTTCACTCCTGAACCTACTTAGTGATCATGTTAGATTTGATTCGCCTTAGTTACACTGAACCACCTTTGCTTTTGTAAACTCTACCACGCTTATACCCGATCTGTTGCTTTCATCTTAGGTGTTCCTTTGCTGGATCCTGAATTCCGTGTTTCACTCAGCCATCCTATTTTGGATACCTCTGGCTGCTTTCAGTTCCAGTAAGTCTCTGTTTGACCTAGGGCATACCATTCTGTCAGTCTTAGAAACCGAATGTTGACAACAAAGTTGTTAGTCACTCATTCGCGCTTATCCCAATCTTCCCCGTCACGTTCATCCTCTCATTCCTTTGCGGATATCCATACATATGGGTGTTTCTAACCGTTTATGGTCTTGCACATAGTACTCCAAGTCTTAACGGCTGGTTCACTGTGAATGAACGCTCTGAACCTTCAGTGAAGAAGCACTTTACTTTGTACTCTCAAAATTCAGGGGATGTTGAACTTTTAACAACGTCTAGAGCTTAGGGTTACTCTCTTTCTGCTATTCTCTTTCATTTCTTCAATGGCAATCAAGGGTAGTAGAGTGTGAGTATCTTACATTTCGCGAAATGATGTCAGCTCTAATGTGTCAGCTGACCAAGTGTCGCCATTTGACGAACTCGGGTTGCTCCATGTGCGTTTAGTACGTTTAGTACAATCCAGGTGTGATAGTACCTGTTGCGTAATACTTTGCATTTGAATTTGGTCCCTTTCGTAACTTACACCACATTTTGTCTGCCGTGTTTGTCTGTATTTGGGTCTGGGGGTGTATCGAAAGCATTACCTTCAATTAGCTAATGTTATTCTGGCGGCAAATTGCAGAACGAATGCCAAACGACTATTTTCTTCGGAATTCGATTATCGTCATTTGCCGCCATCTGGCTTCCATCTTTATCACTATTTTCCTTTGCAGATACACTCTACTCTAGTGGACACTCGGCTAGCTTGTTGGTTCTCGGTAATTCTGTCTACACCGTGAGTGGTATACCCTGCGTGTTAATAAACGTTTTTCCACGATCAAATTACTTATAACTTATACTCATGGCGCTGTTTCCAACAATGTGATGATTTCTTCCCCACTTTCAATCGAATGATGCAGTCCATATTTTCTCTTGAATTGATCGTATACCATTCACCATGTGTTAGCCGTAGTGTTTACTCTGAAGATTGTCCCTGTAACCAAGGTTTTCCTGTGCATCGGGTGTCTTTTCCTGGTTTGAAACTCTTCCAGTTCATCTTATCACCACTTCGTTATCTTTTATCCCTCTGCAACTGGCTTCGAGCTCTTCAGCCATGTCCACTATTCAGTTCGGAGCTAAACCAATGTTATCATTCGTTTAGGTGAAAACCCTTTTCGTACCACATCCACAATGAATTGTACGCAATGGTCACTCAACCGTGCCGTTAAGACGGTTGGGTTGTAAAAGACGGCAGCCCACCTAATCGCGGGAAGACACCCTAATGAGGATTTATCAGCCGCAGGTAATAGGATGAGCATATGGACCCAACAGTTTGTTAATTGTCTACATACTTTAAACGGCACATCGGATGGGTAAAACGTACGGTTTCTCTGTCAAGTGAACTACTTTCAATCTCGACAGTACCTAAAGATGCCCCTATTTGGATTTGGAAGATTGTGGATCCAATGGTTCTTCTTTGGTCACAACACAGCGAAGGTGGATATGATTAATCATATATGGTGCAACGACTCAGTCAGAAAACAATACTCTACTTGCTGGCTAAACATTAAATGACTAAGTTAACGCGGCCTTCGTCTGCGGCATGCGAGTATTCGTATTCGGGGGGTGTGGACGATGGAAATTCAGGTGTGCGAAAACCCCTTACTTACCGGGTACGATTACAAAACTGTTCCGTTGCTGAATGACTTTTGAGCAAAGGTGGATGCGGATCGAGATCCACCCTTCAACTGTGTCAGTTTCGCAATGTACCACGGTAGATTCCTTTGGGCATCATGTACAAGAGCTTTGTTTTCAAAGCAACTGGTAGAATGCAGTGGGGAAATTGGGATGTTTTACAACACGTTTCGGTCAAGAATCACAACAATGAGGTAGAGCAGAAGCTGCGGATCCATGCATGTGTCAGGCAGATGAAGGTCAGCCATCAAGGATTCACAATACACATTTAAGCTATATCACGCCTAATCAGTCCGATGTGGTGGACCACGGTGTCTGAAGAACCCGACCACATCCGCTGCGACATTGCTGGAAACAGGCAATTAGGTGCTCGTGACGTCATAACGTGACCAGCTCTCCTAGATGGACTAGATCTCCCGGGGGAAATCTCTGACCATTATGAGCGCGTGTTAAGTTGCGATTTTTATGAACATACTTGTGATCACAATTCTTGATGACGAACGCGTGACAGAAACATTTGACCCAACATTGCATGAGTGTGGCTCAAAATCATCAAAACAATCGCAGGGCCGAAATGATCATTGGAACTGTGAGCTGCTCAGTCAGTATGCACTAAGAAAGTGTAGTCTCCGTGCCACCATTTCTTCCTGTTTAGAAACCAGCAACAGCGTGCCTATCATGTGTCCGGAATAGTTATCTGAATCAAACAGACCTTAGGTTAAATAGGTGTCCATTTGTCAGTTTTTTGAAGTGGGAAGTGATTAGTTACCGCGTATAGTTACCAGACATGTGATATTCGGATGGCTCGTGGCGTCTGTGGACAGTGACTGTTCATCTTTACACTGAGTTCACACGAGTTGAGAGAGTTATCAGAGCATGTGCGCTCTCGCATGTTGCGAATCCGCATTACCAGTGAACACGTTACCTCGTGAAAACAGAGTTAACGAGTGGATGTTGCGAATCCGCATTACCAGCGAACACGTTACCTCGTGAAAACAGAGTTAAATGAAAGTTCCTCTTAACAGGTGAAGCTTTCAGTATGCATATCCGTTGGTAGCAGCTGTCCCGAGCCTATTGAGTGAGTCTGTCGGTCTAGGTTTACTCAGTCTAAAAGATTGCGAAATTAGCTCTGCGGGGCATCTGAAAACTCGTCACTGGAAGGGATACAGTTGAAATTGATCCCTATGGCTTCCGTTCATGGTTCACATGACCAGTCTAAGGATACAAAAAGAGCCTTATCTGGTAATCTATTTCAGAGCATTTGTCGAACATGTACTATTGCGACGGGTCGGTTATCGTTTTCCCCATCGTTTCCTTACCAGCAAACTGAGTTGCGTTTCTCTGGATGGGGACCCTGGGACGAGTCACACCAATGGTTAGAGACATTGTTAGGCATGGCCAAGGCGCGCTCGTTCATCCAAGCTATTGCCTTTAACGCATAGCTCCTCCCAATCTCCCCAATTCACAGTCCACTGACCCCTGTATCTACGCATCAACTACATCATCTACCTACACCACCTCCCTATATCATCGGCGAACGAAATTGTGGTAGCTATAACCACCGTACAACAAGTACACAGTTCTTACAGCTGATGATGATGATTTGTATATGTATTAGGTAAATCAATGCCATTAATGTTCCCGGATATTTTGGGATAATCAAACTCAGAAATGCTCTGTTAGTCCCTGCCGTTAAAAAGATCCTTTAGGCCTCTTTGCCTGGGGGTTCTTCGGACTCACCCTGTCCATTACCCGTATATGTTCAATCTGCTTATGGTTATGCTGTTCCCTAAAACAGTTAAGTAACCCCCTAGACCATGACACCTCAGGAGTCCTCTTGCGGTTTTATTGTACTTTTATTGTACTGGAGCCAAAAAAGCTGACTCAAGTTTTCCAGCGGAATATTTTCTATATGTCGAATAACCGCAGACTGAATCAGCGCATGGAGAACACCAGTGACCGTGAAAACATCACATTATGCCAGACTTGATATCGACAACTGAATTGTTTTAATATCAAACCTCTTGACTGAATTACATTAGCTCCACAATTGTTCAGTGCTCGAAGTCAACACGCATTGCTTGGATCCACACTTCATTTTTATGATCATACTACTCGGTCGAATTTTCGTTATGTAAACCATTTGGTACTCCTGGAATTATCTGAAAACGGAGCTAAAGTTGACTTTCCATATTTAACTCATCACTCAAATTTCATTCGTTCTCCGCGTTTTCACAGATATGGGTTTCATTATCTTCTCATGTGTTAAAAACATAAATACTGTTTTCCTATGTTTAAACGGACTTAGTGAATGGTGCCTTCCGCGTTATATATATCTTTGTCGCGTACCGTGAGTGGCTTTAGACCACATCGCATAAATTTTACACTGTTGTTGTTCTGCCTTCTCTCGCCTTTCACAGTATGTCGTCGTTACGGTTTGTCTCAAGGCCGGCCTTGAACACACCGCGTGGACATGGCTTTCACATTTGGCCATCTGGGGCAGCGTCGCCACGTGGTTTCTCTTCTTAGTAGTATACTCACACTTCTATCCGACACTTCCTTTGGCCTCAGATATGGTTGGTATGGTAAGTGATGTGGGTCTCCCTCACAAAGAGCTGCGTGAATCTGACCACACCGCTGTTTTTCGTTGCACCCTTTTCGATTATAGTGATGTGGTCTCCCTCACAAAGAGCTGCGTGAATCTGACCACACCGCTGTTTTTCGTTGCACCCTTTTCGATTATTGCCTTCTGTTAGGATCTATTATAACTGAAGCTTGTTGTAAAGTGTGGCAAAACTGTGCTCAGCTGACCTTTACTCCGTTGATCGGGCTATCTTGAGTAGCATTTGTGGTGGCCACAAAACTTAATGCCATTGGAGAATATCAAGCATTGCCAACTTGGTTGCAATGGATTTTCGGAGCTTCTCGTTGAACTGCACTCCCTGCATAACTCTCCTATACCCCCTAAGTTAGATGTGAATTAGATTTGGCTCCCTTGATTAAGTTTTCGCTGCAGCCAGTTGGTTATTCTTCACTAATATATCCAATCTTCTCTTTTTCAAGGATTCTGCTGTCTATGGATGTTGGGTGTTCTGGATGGGGTTGATTCTCATTCCATCGTTCTGCCTAACGCGGGATGTTGCCTGGAAAATGTAAGCGAAACCAACCGTGCAGTGTCTAATTGTCGTTTCATGTCCAACACTGTGCCTCACGTTAAATCATACTTTCGTTGTGAACTTATTTTCACAAGTATTACTGCTGGTCTGTTTGACTTTCAAACCATCCGGGCGAAAGAATTCAAATTGATCGTGATTGCTTTCCTGTGTGTTCTGCTGGCTCATTATGGATTCGTACGTTTGGTCATTTGTATTGCTTCCAGCTTGGATAGTGACACTGATGTGTCATCCGAATCGAAATGTTACTGAACGATGATTAGTATGGTGTTATCTTCAGAACCAGTGTAGCTTTGGTACACGGTTCGAAGCTAAGAAGTTTGGCGTTGAGCTCACTGTCCTTCCGTCAGCTTCACGTGCTCACATTTGCTTGCTCTACCGGTCGACTTATCTCTCGACCAGTTCCATCTAAGTCAAATAAAAGGTAATGAAGATAATCGTTCACCCTTCCGGTGTCCAGATGCCAGGTTGCCCAAGCCTAGACAGGGGAAGTCGAGAGGCAGAGTCGGGTTCGAACCACGGACCTTCCGGTCAGTGAATTAACCCTCTAGCCACTGAGCCATCTCGCCCCCATCTGAGTCGAGACCTACGATTGGATGACTCATTTTTGTCCTCTACTTGTATCGTTTCTTACTTGTATACTTAGATGGGTGGGCTTTCTAAGAGCTTAGTTTGTTTCCGCTCTCCGTGTGTTTACCGTTGCTTTTTGGTCTTGTTATTGACACAATACCGAAGGTCTGTGAACAGTCCACTTTTCTGCACACAAAGTACAGACAATTGCCGTGTGTCTTTACAGAGGAAGTCTCCTGGTGTAACACTTGTATAACGGTCCTCAAGCAGTCTCGTAGAGTACAAAGCCCACCAAATAAACAAACTGTTAGTAAATATTCTCCCACGTGCCTAATTTGTATTTTTTTTAGTCTAAGCTGAAAATTGCTACATCGCGCGTTTGTTTGGACGACAAAAAAACGGTTAAATCGACTGAATTGTATCACGCCCTCCCACCTAATGGAGTCTACAGAATTCCAAGCGATTGCATACAAGCCAGGTCCCAATACGGTTGCCTGTTTGCACGAGAATCCACTCCTCAAAAGAGTAATTTTGTTTTTTGCTTTATAAAGCCAGTACTTTTGTCAGTCCTGTCAGTAGTTAATTCGGTTCCTTCAGGTAATTTCTCCAGGGGAGCCAAATCCATCGTTGAAATTTCCTCAGTAAGCTCTGGAAATTTGAGAAGGGTACTGTCAAAACACAGACGACAAGCTCCTGAAAGCTTCTGTTTTGCCTTGTCCACATTTTATTGACCGTGTATCTTTCCGGGTTTAGACCAGGTTATGCTGTCATCTCATTACCGGTCCACGATGGTTCTGTTTTGTCTCGACGGTTAGCTACTTTTTGTTGTTAGGTATCGACCTTTTGAACTTTGTGCCTCTAATGTGAATACTTTAACTATCTACCATGTCTCTTGTCCCGCCTACTGCTAATTTGTTGTTATCGACTGTACCTTTAGGCGTACGAACCCTACTTATCTTGACTAGTTATTCATTTCCATGAGCTTAACTATCGAACTCAGTCCCATGGAATGGATAGAATCCTGGTTATCGTTTTATCACAGTTGTCGTTTGTTTATGCATGTGTGGCCTTAGTATATGAATCTGAGGTCGTCAGTTCAGGTTATTGGTTGTTTATGCTAACGACCCGGATTGTCATTGGCGCTCAGTGTTTGATTGTTTGTTCTCGTAAGCGTATGCCTATGTCACTTGCAAATGGCGCTTTAAGTTCATGTGCGTGCAGCAAGAATGCCGAATCGGAACCATGACAACTCCATCCAATCGTCCCGAGTGCACCGAATTTGCGCGTGCGATGTAAAAAAAAGCAGTTTATGCCGGTGAATTGAGCAGGTGCATGAAGAGCCGGTGGTGGATGGGTTAGCATTCGCGACGTGCACTTTTGTGATCTAAGGTACTTCATCCCGAGATTGCTCATGCGGTCCGGTGCTATTTACCCATATAAAGTCCTCCACCAGAACATTACCCGCGCGCACTGACGTAAGCCTGTCGTTGGTATTTGTGACCCCCCGATCGACCGCATACGTCTTATGTTAGGGCTCCAGAGTTATGTACACCTTATACGGGAAGAGTTAAACCAGTACTTTATGCACCCTA